CCCCGCGGGCAGCACCTCCATGGGGCCGGGGAAGGAGAGGGAGCGGGGGGGGGTGTAGGGGGGGGAGCGGGAGGGGCGGGAGGAAGAGGAGGAGGAGGAGGGCAGAGGCTGAAGGCCCTGCTGGGAGGAGGGAGCGGGGGCTCAGGGGGGGCTGCGCATGGGGAGCGGGAGGAGGATGGAGGGATGGATGGAGGGATGAGGGATGGAGGAAGGAGGGTCGGCAGGATGGAGGGATGGAGCGCCCGCAGCCGCCGCCTCCTCCTCCTTTGCAGCTCGGAGTGCCGCTCGCTGCTGCTTTCCTCCCGCACAGCTCCCTCTGCCTGTCTCCCCACGAACACCGCGGGCCCTCCGCCGGGCTTCGCTGCCATGCGGCACCCGCATTCCCCAACACGCATCCCTCCTGCCCGCCCTTCCTCTCTTCTGCCCCCCCACAGCCATTCCCTGCCCTCGGCAGCAGCCGCCTGGGATTGCCGCTCAGCACCCCCCCCCACAGCATCCCATGGGCGGGTGGCCATGGGCATCTGCACCACTGCGTCCCCCATCCGTGGGCGCAAGGAACACGGCTTGGTCCTGAAACGGTCCCTGAGCATCCTGGCTTGACCCTGGACTTTGTCCTGCTCTGATTCCTGAGCCCCTGTGTTTGGTGCCCAAACTCCCAGGCAGTCCCCATGCTTGGTCTCCATCCAAATCTGAGTGATCCAGGCTGCATCTCAGCTTGATCATAATCTGGTCCCCAAACAGATTAACCTGGTCCCTGAGCATCCTGGCTTGGATCCCAAACACCGAGCTCCCCATCTTGGTGCTGGTCTGGTCCCTGAGCGCCCAGCTTTGTCCTGATCTGGAGCCTCAGTCACTGTCTGGTTCTTAGTAGAGTCCTGGCCTGGATCATGGTCTGGTATCAGAGAATGCCTTGGGTTGGAAGATCTCAAAGACCATGTAGTCCCAACCCAAAAATCTCATCTTGGACCTCGGCTTGGTCCTGATCTGTCCCCAAGCACCGCACAGCAGCCCTTGCCTTATTCCTCCTCCAACCCCAAGCACTCCAGCTTGGTCCTTGGTGCCAAAGCCACCCAGCTTTGGTGTTCCTTTCTTTGTGAACACAGCTGTGGGGAGATGGCATGGGGAGACCATCCCTGGGGACAAGCAGCTGTCCCCATGCCCAAGAAACCCTGAAAGGTTGGGGTACAACCTGCCCCCATCCTGCCCTGAGTCAGCTGCATCCTCCATCCCTTCCTCCCTCGATAGCTCCGCTCATGGAGCAGAGCTTGGAGGCTTTACAGAGCCCAGAGCTTTTGCAGAGCTTTCAGGCTCTCATCAATAATGGATGAACCTTGGGAGGGGTATTAATAAAGCCTCATGCATGATGCATGGCTGAGTGGCGTGTGGGAATTGCGTGTGCCCTCTCCTGGTGTGGTGCTGCAGTGGGTGCCAGCAGGAGCGCACCCAGAGGGGATGAGCACCCTTGGGTGCCAATGGGGGCCTGAGACTTAAGGACAGGTGCAAGGAGACTTTTAGGACGTAGGGCACCAGGTACAACTGTCCACATTCCACCTCTCCGCAGCCCTGAAAGACCTTTCGTCCAAGTTCCCAAATTCATTTCCCACCCACGGCCACCCCATGGTGTGGGGCAGGGGGTTCTGTGGGAATAACACGGGATAACGGTGTCCCTCATAACTGTGTCCCTCATCCCAGGAAGGATGCTGCAGCCCAAACGCCAACAAAGAAGCTGAGGGATACCGAGGATGGAGCAGGAAATCTCTATTCCTCCGTAAAGCAGTTTTGGCTCAGATCGCCAATTTTCTGAGATGGTAACGAGGAGAAAAATAACCTCGATCCCTGAGGCCCATTTTCCCCCCGTTTCTTGCAGGATGCCTCCTTCTTGCCCTCTACCCAAGCCTTGCTGGTGCTCAGAGGCACACATCCTTTCCACCGCTTGCATCGAGACCCCCGGGATGCCGTGTCCGTGCCTCCTTCCCGCAGCACAGCCCCACAGTGCCCCCATAATACCGCAGGGAGCGCGGGTTGGGGCCGCCCGAGGCTGAGCCGACTGCGGGGCTCCAAGTAGGACAAATCCCTCCAGGAGCAGCGCTGGGCTGGTGCCCAGGGCACAGCATCCGCAGCCACGTTGCTCCCTGCAAAGCAACCCAGAGCCACGGCGTCCTTCTTGCAGAGAACCCCTTCCCCTCTGTGCCTTGGGACAGAGCTGCCCACCCTGCGACAGGGGGGTGAAGACCATCCCCGCTGATGGGTTCTCCATCCCTGCTGATGGGTTTCCCCTCCATGCTCAGTTATTTGGGCCCTTTCCCCCCCTCCTCGTGATGTGGCAGCTAAAGGTCAAAACAAAAAAAAATGCAGCAGAAATCCCACGGCCATCGCGGGTTTTGAAAGGCAGAGAGAGCTGGGATGAGAACAAAGCTTTAATTATAAAAATAGACACGGCTCTGCAATAGTCCTGATAGATTCTTTTTACAAACAGGAAAATATTTATAACCGGAATTACGACCATCACCGTTCCTAAAGGGGCGCCGCCGCTCACCGCTCTCCATCGTGAAGCCGCGCGGCGCCCGCTCCTCTGCCACTGCCTTCCATTGGCAAAGCACTCCGTGCGCCCGGAGCGCCGCGTGCAATGCAGGCGAGGCACAGCTTGCTGCAAACGCAGCCCCAGCCCGTGTGTCCGTGAGTATAAAAACGGTGGGTAATCCCCTTCTGTACACTGTATTCGGCCCTGTTTTCCTCCTTGGAAGAGGAGCTGTAGGGATGACTCAGTCTCTGCAGGTTGGAGATGGCTCCATTGGCTGGAGGTGTTGATTGCAGTGGTAATGGTGGAAAGTCTTGGTGGCAGATGGACTCGATGATCTTAGAGGTCTTTTCCAACCAACCGTTCCGTGATTTTATGGCAATGTGAGTCGTTCTGTCCAGCGCTGCCTGGTCCGAACCTCTCCTCCCCAGCGCTCCTTCTGCGGCAACCTTCACTGGCACCTTCTCCATGGCTGAACCACCTGCAGGTTGTTCCCACCATGGGATGTTCCCACCACGGGATGCTCTTCCATGGGACGTTCGACGTCCTCTATTGGGAAACACCACCTCCCATCACCAACATGGGGCTTTCACAGCGTGCCGAAGGAGAGACCCACCGAGAAGAACCCCAAGCCTTTGAGCTTCTCCTCCGTCCGCGCTTTCTGCTTCAGGTGGACTTTGCTGTGTCGCTTCTTTTCATCGCTACGGGCGAAGCGCCGCCCGCAGGTGTCACAGGAGAAGGGCTTCTCACCCGTGTGAGTGCGGATGTGGGTGGTGAGGTGGTCGCTGCGGCTGAAGTTGCGCAGGCAGATGCGGCACTGGAAGGGTTTGTGGCCCGTGTGGATGCGCAGGTGCCGGTTGAGCTCATCGGAGCGGGCGAAGCTCCGCACGCAGTTCTCCACTGGGCAGGCGAAGGCTTTCTCGTGGGGCTTGGGGCAGAAGCATTTGGAAGAGCACTTGGTGCGGCGCGTCTTCTTCTTGGGCTCGGCTAAGGTAGGAGGGGTGGGCAGCAGGGAGGGGACGGAGGTTGGCACGGGGTGGCCTAAAAAGTCCGTGGGGGGCACCGAAGGTGAGGGATGGGGATGGAGGATCTCGGTGGAGCCCATCAGACCTGGAAGGACGTCGGGTTGTGCCAAGGAAGAGTCGAACTCCGGCATCAGCTGGGCAGGGAGGTTCTGGATTTTGGTATCAGCAAAGTTCTCCGGCTCACAGCCAAAACCCAAATTGGTGCTGGGGAAACAGCCAGGATCCTCCGTGAGGCTTCCGAGCTCTGCCTGGCAGCTGATGGTCAGCGCATTTTCCATCTTGGAGCCCAATGGATGGAACATGGCCTGGCCGCTCTCCCCCGCTGGGAAGGTCTCGGTGGGATGGAAGCCAGTGGGCAGGAAGGGTTGATGCGGGGTGATGGGCTCCCACTGGGCACAGGGGGCTTTGAACTTATCCAGCGCTGTGGAGCTGGAGGGCAGCTTGATGTCCTGCTTGGTGTCCAGCAGCTTGCTCTCGAAGAAGCACTGGGAGGTGGTTCCCAAGGAGGGCTGAGGCTGCAGCGGGTGCACGGCGTCCGCAGAGGGGAAGCTGCCGTAGCTCTGCTCGGCGAAGGGGGCTTGCATGGAGCCATTCATTTCAGGCTGGCAGCTGGGATAGATGTCCATCTGGTTGGGTGCCACCTCAGGACAGGGATAGAGCGCATCCAGGTGTCTTTGGTGGCCTTCAGAGGTGGCGAAGGGGGAGATGCCCAAGATCCCTGACATCAGGTTGAAGAGGGACTCCTGGTCCTGGGGGTGCTCAGGCACAGCCTTGATGAAGAAGCTGCCGGTGTAGCTGAGCGAGGGGGACAGCTGGCTGCCCAGGGGGGGGTATTCCAGCAGCTCACCTGGGGATGCAGAATGGAAAACGTTAGGAAGATAATGGGGTGCAGGCCGGGAGACAAGAGGGAACGGTGGGAGTCGGATGGTGCGTCACTGTGTGGTTTCCCTCCCCCCCCTCCCCCCGGGGACGCACAGGGAGCCGTGGGCTTCACCTCCCCACCCCCACCCTGGGCACTGCCTGACCCACAGCCAGGGGCTGCAGGGCAGAGGAGGGGATGCGCTCGGTTCCAGGCAGAGGAATGCAGTCCCAGCAGGGTGCCCCCGGCCCTGCCCTTACCTCCGAGGAATTCGGCCTCTTCCAGAAGTTGCTGCTCAGGCTGCCCCAAGCCCTGCAGGTCCCCGGCTTTCATCTCGCAGCTCTCCTCGTACTTGGAATACAACTGGTCCGAGCAGGAGAAATCCATCACGTTGAGCATTTCGCTGGGATGCAGGGATGGATCAGACGGAGTGGGCTGGGGGATGCTCCGGGTGAGCCGGGAAGGAATGCTCCAGGGATGCTTCAGGTTATCCAGAGGATGCTCTGCAGTACCCGAGGTGATGCTTGGGGTTATTCGGATGGTGCTTGGGATGCCCTGGAGGATGCTTAGGGTTATGCAGAGGATGCTCAGGGTGCTCCAGGAGGATGCTTGGGGTTATCCAGGCGATGCTCCGTGGTGCCCTGCGTGATGCTCGGGATGCTCAGAGTGATGCAGGGGATGCTTGGGGTGACGCAGGGGACGCAGGGGGTGCTCGAGGAGCTCGGTGAAGGTGCCGAGGACCCTGCAGGGGAGCAGCGAGGCGCTGGGAACAATCCTAGAGACGCTGCAGGATGCGTAGGGCAATCCGGAGGGTAAGGAGGAAGGTGCCGGGGGGGCTCGGGGCGGTGCTGGGGATTCGGTCGGGGTTTCCGTGCCCGGGGGGGCGGGAGGGGGCCGGCGGAGCAGCGCAGCCCGTGCGGACACCCGGCTCTCCCTCCCCGCCACCCCCTTTATAGCTGCAGCGGGGCTGCTCCGACCCTTCCGCCGCAGCCATTTCTGGAGTCCCCAGTGAGGCTGCCGTGACGTAAATGCCCATACATGGACTCAGGATGTAGGCTAGGGAGTCCCAATAAGGAAATCTCTCCCGTGACGCGCTGCCCCTTCCCTCCCCCCACCCCTCCCTCCGCCTTTTCTCTCGGTTGTTTTTTTTCCCTCTTCCCCCCCCCCCACTTTCCCTTTCTCCTTCTCTTTCTCTCTTTTTTTTTTAACTATCAATCTCGAGATCTCAACAAATCGTTGCGAGCCGCGCGGGCGCTGCAGAGCCGCGGTGCCTTGGCTCCGCGTGTGCGCGCTTGTCTGTGCCCGCTCCGTGTGCCCGTGCATCCGCGTGCATCAGTTCACTCGCCCAGCGACGCGAGCTGATGCGCGCACACCTCTATCTGTGCGCATTCACGTGCACTTCCATGTTATCTCTGTGTATTTCTGCACGCGTCCCTGCGTGTGCGCGCAATCCCCGTGCCGTGCAAGCGCGCACACACACGCACACACACGCACGCACACACACGCACGTGTGCACAACCCCCCCTGGGTCCCTTGGGAGCCCCCAGCCCCGCTCTTGGGACGCAGCGCCCTCCGGATGCGGCCCCGAGCGTCGGGCTTCTGGCTCCGCTCCCAACGTGGGCTGCTGTTCTTCCAGATTTACATCTCCCCAAGCTCTTATTCGCCTTCTGCTATATCTTTTTTTTTCTTCCTTCCCCGTGAATTGCCTTTTGTTGCTCTTGTTCCTTCTAGAAGCGTGAAAGGTGTCGGCTTTGAGGTTTCTCCCTCCCTTCCCGAGGAGGTTTTTGCAACGCTTTGCCGTTCCTGCTGGCATTTTGCGCTCAGATCCCGGCTGTGCGGCTGCTCCTGCGATGGGGCGAGCAGCCAAAGGCTGCGGGCAGCTCCTCCTGCTCCCCAGCCCTCCCCGCACGTGGCTCCCACCCAGCACGGTGCCACATGCACGGATTCAGGCTGAGAAAAGGCACACTGACCCCATCGATGCGCCCAAAGGAGATGTTTTAAGGGTAGACGAGACAGGAGCAGTGATTTGGAAGGCTCTTTCCAATGCTGCTCTCAGCATCTTGAAATCTGCACTGAAGAAAGCCCGCTTGTCCGGCTTCATCATTTGGAGATTTCCAGCTTCCCAAACTTTCCATATTTTCAGTTTTCCAAATTTCCAAAAGCAACGTGGATTTAAAGCCCAGCCCAGCAGTGGCCATGCCTTGGTGAGCTGGCATTGAGCACGGTTGGTTTGGGCAAAGAGGGGAAGGCTTTCTCAAGGTGATTTGGAGCCCACTAGAAAGTAGTTGTAGGGCAGTATTCGCAGTGCAGCCCAATGGGAAAGTCAGCATTGGACGTGAGCACTGCATGTGGGATGTGGCTGCGGTGGGAAGGAAGGAGAAAGCTGCAAAAGGGCTGGGAATTATAGAGCCATGGGATGGTTTGAGTTGGAAGAGAACTCTAAGGGTCATGCGGTCCAACTCCCTGCAGGGAGCAGGGACACCCACAGCTCCATCAGGCGCTCACAGCCCCGTCCAACCTGATCTCCATGGGGCGTCCAACACCCCTCTGCAAGCTGTGCCAGGAAGGGATGAGACCCTGCTCCCCAGCAGAAGCATGGTTACAGCTTTGCTGGGATGCCGGGTGCCCACGGCTGCACCTACGGGACCAAGCAAGGGTGCAGTGCTATTTGTGGCTGGGCCGTGACTCATGGCTGCACCTTGGGCAAAGCACTCTCAGATGTGTCTCGCAGAGCTTCTCCTCTGTCAAAAGCACCGAGATCTCTGGCAGAGAAGTGCAAAGAAGCATTAAGGCTGGCTGGTGATTCAGGGAGTGTCAGAGAATAGGCTGCGAGGTTGGGGATGGAAACAAAACAGCCCCCACCCGACCCCAGCACGTCCCTCAGTGCCGCATAGAACCAACCACGGAATCCTCGAATGGCCTGAGTTGAAATGGACCACCATGATCATCCAGTTTCAACCCCCTGCTATGTGCAGGGTCGCCAGCCACATCTCCACTCTTGTTTTATTTGGGTGTGCCGAGCTGGATGTGGTTTGTCAGCACTGCGCAGGGGGATGTGGGGTCGTAGGGTAAAGTCCTCACTCTTGCGAGGAAGGCAAGACCTCCTTTTCTCCTGGAGGCAAAAAAAAATTGCTCCACCTGTGTATCTTAAAGTAGTGGCGGCGTTTCAGTTTGAGGCAGGAAAACGTTGTGTTGTCTGCAGATTTTGTCTGCAGAATCACAGAATGGTTAAGGTTGGACGAGACCCCTAAGAGCATCACGTCCAACCATCAACCCATTAGCTGCTGCTAATCACACAGGGGTGGCTGCAGTGGTTTGGGTACGGCCCTGTTGACCCAGTTCTGCTTAGAATGAGAGAAACAAAAATGGATCGGCATTAGAAAATCAGTTCTGCAATCTGTAAAGGACTCCTTTTGTTGGCAGCTCCCACTGCGGAGCTGTGGCCGCGTTGGCGAGGGCGGCATCGGCTCTGAGCAGGGAGGTGACACCACCAGAGATGGCTCCAATGAGGTGCATGAGGTCATGGAAAACGTGACTGGGAGCACAGCCAGGCCCTGGGGCTGGCTGCTGGCACCAGGCTTCGGTGCACAGAGGGGCACTTGGCTCAGGAGGACGTGGGATAGCCTTCCTACGGTGAATCGTGTCGTCACAGAGGGACGGGGAGGAAATCCATGCACCGGGGCCAGCTCTCTCCCTGTTTTGTGGGGAGAGCAAATGGAGCTCGTATCTTGCCCCAGTTTTCAGGTCCTGATGTTTCCCAACGGGGTTTCCAGCATGGAAACGAAGTTCTAACTCTTGAGTTTGTCCCATTTCTCCTTCAGTTTTCACCCTTAGGAGCATGATCTGGGCTCTTCCCTGTGCTTCCAGGGGGATTTTATCACAGCCACAGAATGGGACTTTAAAGTCCCCCCCCTGGCCCCAACCCCTGCTGTGGGCTGGTTGCTCCCCACCAGCTCAGCCTGCCCAGGGCCCATCCAACCTGGCCCCGAGCATCTCCAGCTCTGGGCAACCTGTGCCAGGACCTCACCTCCAAGTAAAGAAGAACTGTGCTCAGGCTGGAATCCATCTTCCCAAAGGGATGGGCTGAGCACAGGCTCATGGCAATGCCACTGCCACAGCCAGACTTAGTCCTGTGTAGTCATAGATGATGTTCAGGGTAAAAGATAACCCCCATGTGCCTTCTTTCACACCCCAGATATTCATGGCTCATGCTTCTCCTGCATTAAAACAGTGCCCTATATTCAGTAGCTCTTGGTATTTTTTTTTCCCACTGTCCAGTTCCTTTTTGAACCCTCAGTGCTGCGAGATGAGGAGTGGTTTTGGTAAATAAATCTCTTTGTTAATTCAGACATGCTCTGAGGATTTAAGGCTTGCAACTGGGTGAGCTTTAAGGTCCCTTCCAATCCAAGCCATGCTATGATTCTATGATTCTGTGATTCTATGATTCTACGATGTGGAGGTTGGAACTGGGTGGGTTTTAAGGCTCTTTCCAAGCCAACCATTCTATGGTTCTATGATTCTGTTATTTAGGGGTTGGAACTGGGTGGGCTTTAAGGTCCCTTCCAACCCACGCTATGCTCTGATTCTGTGATCCTATGGTTTGGGGATCGGAACCGGGTGTGCTTTAAGGTCCTTCCAAGGGAACCGACCTATAGTTTGATCTGTGGGATTGGAACTGGATGAGCCTTAAGGTCCCTTCCAAGCCAAGCTATGCTGCGACGCCGTGATTTGCTGGACACCCCGGGTTGTGACGGATGGAGCAGCGATTCCTCATGGCTCGCCCACAGGAGGTGACACACCGACGGGCCGCTGCCCCACTGCCACATTTCCATTCCTCGCCCCACATCTCCTCCAAACATCGACATGCCCTTCCAGGATAACTTCCCAAACACATCGCTCTGCATTTCCATGGCAACTGGCACACGACCAGCCCTGCCGGCTCCGCAGCAAAGCCGTTCCCAGCTCTGCATTGAGGATGCTCGGTGACAGAGGGGATGACATGGAGGGGTCGAGGAGATCGCCTGCACCGCCTCTGCATCCCTCTGGGGGATTTCTGCCCACCATCACCTTCCTTCTGATGGCTACAGCAGGTTTAAGCAGCAAGGCTCTGCGAAATGTCTGCCAAAAGGGTTTTTATCATTGCCCAGCACGAGTGAGGTTTGCTGGCTGGAATTTCAGCGCTGAGCCCGGCGGGAGGTCAGGGCGGATGGCTATCTGCCTCTGGGTTTTATGTTGCTGTTGTTGAATATCACCATATTCTTTGGGTGCTCGGCTATGATGCTGTCTCTTCCTGACCTCACCCTTTTGGGCTTGCATCTCCTGCATGCTTGCTGTTCTACCAGCTTTGGGGTGAAATCCCTCCAATGTGGGAGCAGGCAAGGACAGCGGGGCAGCCCACC